GGGGGGGGGGGCTTATATTTGGATTGAGGTGAGCGTTAGTATATGTGGTGGGCTTATATTCGGGTGGCTTATAGTCGGAGGTTTACGGTAGGCAGCCTGCTAGCTAAGTGCACACTTCATGTAGCAATTTTAATATTTACAGTATCACAATATTCATTGTTCCCATTACAAAATTGATATAAAAATTTCTCGACATATCTTCACCTTTATTGATATTTTTCGAAATGGGTTTAGGCATGTAATAAGGATTCCTTTTCCATTGGAAGCAGGGTGAGTCCTACTGGCGCTCAGTTCAGATTTACAGAGGCCACAGCACATCTCATTTGGTTCGAACACATCTGGCCATCCACCTTTGCCAAGTAGTGCTTTGCAATCCAATTCCTTATTTTTGGCTAAAGTTGTCGTTTCTACTTTATAAGGCAGTTGAAAGTTGCTATACAGCTGTTTAGTGTTTTGACGAGACACAGAATCTTCTTTTGCAGCATCTTCTTCGATTGTATCTTCCACACTTTGACAACGAGGTATATTGTAAATTTCATCATTATTTTGCAGGCAGCACAAAAGCATATGAATATGCATGCAAATGTTCCTCAAACCAAGTTGTTTGGTTTTGACCTTTACTGTCCTGCAATATTTCGATGTGCACGAATAAAATGGATTCTCTTTACTCATGTGCGTATAACCGATTGGATTTGATGTGCTTGGTAGTGAGAAAATAGCAAACCGTTTTGCAGAAACCTGAACTGCATGTGGCAAATTGGAATTCTCTTTTACCACACCAAACAGAACTGACTTGACGCTGTCGTCTGAAGAATAAGTCTCGATCTTTTTTGGAGTGCAGAATGATGTCCACTCCGGTTGGGATGAAGATACCACTTTTTCACTATGCATGCTTACACATGAATGCTTCTGTTTGACCACTATTTATGAAAACAGATCTGCTTTCTTTGCATACTCCATTCGGGCATATTGTTAGACCATTTTCCACAACAACAAAACAACGATTATTTCTTGTAGTAGTCACCACGGAGTATATTGTTGTAGTCTCATTAGAAAAGACGATAGTGCTTGCTGGAACTGTTGCTTTAACAGCTTTCTTTTTGGGAACATAGGATCCTCCAAGTAGAAACCCACATTTAGAACAGTCATGTGGCTTACATCTGTTTGCATATGGCTTTTCACATTGAGGACAAGATCCTTTACCACACGTGCAACGGCCACTTGATGTTGTAGGCACCTGGCATTAAATGAATATTTATGTGTGGTTAAGAATGGGTATGGGATGAACCTATAAGCCTGCGCCAAATATTATACCACATGAATTTAAATACAAGTATAAGGTTTACTGATAGAGCAAAACAATTACAATGGCCGTAAGGTCCAGTGTTGGGGTTCCCTAATTTTCTGTGCAAAAATTCTTCGTTTTTTTTCGTCAATGTGAAATCAACCTACGTTCATGAAGTGAACCGCGGACCTGCAATTGGCTCAAGTAAAAATGGCCGCCTGTTAAGGAGCGGAAACTATGCAATAGGATATTTTGTCTTTGTTTATTGGTATTGATATAGTGTCCTTTGAATTTTGAAACTTAGCATACTCAAATGTTTCTGGTATTAGACCCTGTTTACACGGTACCGGACGAATTTGGGGCCAGGCTGAAATTTGTTCTTTTTCACCTGTTAAGTTTACATGTGAATTTGTCCTGTTAGAGGTTCTCAAATTTGTCCGGTTCCGTGGTTCTCGTGTAAACGAAAGGCCGAAACGGATGAATTTCAGCCCGGTTCCAAATTCATCTGTTACCTTGTAAACAGGGTCCTAGTTGAACCCTATAGCCTGTCTATGGTGGGGGCCTTCAGTTTGTTCACCATATAGTGATGTAGTTTAGTTTTTAAACCTAACATACTCGAATGTTTGTAGTATATTACCTGCGTATTAGTTAAACCCTTTAGCCTGTGTACATACGTTTCAAAATCCTTGAAAGTTTGTGACTTGGAGGCATTGGAGACATAGAAATTTTGAAATGGTTTTCATAGGGTCGTATTGTTTTCAAAGTGAACCTTTCTAACATTTGTACCTGATGCTAAGTGTACCAAGGCGGCATTTTTAAAATATCATGCAAATAAATGGTCCGTGCTGGCATGGCTATCCACATGCGCCATGCATTGATGTTTATAAGCATTACCATCAATACCATGTTAAATTCATTCCTTTTTAAGTCCAATTACAAAAGTTCAGTTGAAATATTATATATTCTGATCTATTGACTATAAACTGATCTATAAACTTCGCGTCATCCTCGCGCGTGCGCACGAGGGAACTCCTTTAAAATTTGCTTTTTTAGTAGTCCAAAAACACTGTTTTGGAGTAAAAACGTATAATAAAGTCGTCTAAGAGTATCAGGAACTTGGACTTGTGAATTTCTGGAGAGTTTGATTCAAGAAAGCGTCGTTTGGAGTGTTTTATTTCTTCGAAAGTCAGGGGATTTTTGTTTTAGCATTTTACGCCAGTTGAATGTTTGCTTACGCCACACATCATCATCATCAATGGTCATCGCAAACACGTAATTAAATCCATACGTCATCGAACTATGTGAGTTCAATAAATTAATACAAACAGAATAAATCACGTGAGTGTAAGCTTTGAATTCAGAAATGGTTTTAAAAAACACTTCAGATGGAAAGAAAAGTCTAGTTAAGATTGGACGCTTCATAATTAACATGTTACTTCTTTTTTGAAACTGTCTGTGAAAGTTAATCGAGACGCTAATAAGACCCAAATTACATCAGGAAAAATTTTAATCCGCTCCGAACTTGTTTCTCTGCCCGAAAAACTATGCTATGTTTGGGTTTCCACCCGTGATGTTGTTTTCAGAAAGTATAACTTACCATGCAATAACCAGCATCGCTACGGCTTAAACTTACAAATTAACCGCAAGATCTCACATGCGTCTATATTACTCTTGCTTGCCGGAGATATCGCAACGAATCCTGGACCTTACAAACACACGAATCGTGAAAACCAGTTCGTAAAATGTCTCGCACTCAATGCTCAAAGTCTGATGAGTTTACATAAAACCAACATCGGAAACAATTTGACAGATACTAACATTGAACGCTTCCAGAACTTGGTCTATTCTGAAGATCCCGATATTGTTTGTGTCAACGAAACGTGGCTTAATGAGGATATTAAAAACTCTGAAATTCTGCATTCGGGATATGACATATTCAGGAACGATCGCGGATCTCGTGGTGGTGGAGTACTGTTAGCGATAAGGATTTCATCATTTAAATCAGTGCGGGAAATTCAACATGGTCATGATTTGGAGATCTCCATGGCTGAAATAACAACCACTTCAAATGCAAGTTTATTAATTTGTTCTTGTTATCGTCCACCAAACTCAGATCATAGCTGGTTGGACAAGTTCAATAACTTTATGAGTGATGTTTGTTCACAACACTCAAACATTGTGCTTGCAGGAGATTTCAATATGCCACGTATATCATGGGACTCGCCAGAGAAAACATCAGGTAGTAACGAAAATACCTTCGTAGAACTGCTCCATGACCATTTCTTGGAACAACTAAACACCGCACCTACTAGAGGTAATAACACGTTAGATCTCGTTCTTACCAATATTCCCAACAAAGTCAAAATATGTGAAATTTTGTCTCCCACTCAAGCAGAACTTTTCACCGATCACAACATTATTGTGTTTGAACTTTCAATATGTCATAATCAACTGCCAAAGATACGCAGAACTGTCTATAATTATCGTCAAGGTGATTTTGCTGGCTTACAAACTTCCCTTGAATGTCTAAATCTGGATTCCCTGATTACAACCGACGACAATATCAACCACGACTGGCAACAATGGAAGAAGGTGTTCCTAGAAGCAGTATCCCAACACATACCATCAGTTAGAGTAAAGTGTCGCAACTATGTTCCCTTGGATGAATTCTACAATTCTACACAACATCAAGAAGAAAAACTCTCTCTGCCTCAGAATTAAGAAATCCCCTACACCTACCGAATATCTCCTGGAAAAATTCAAAACCCTTCGTAGTTACATCAAGAGTATGTTACATAACAGTCGCTCCAAATATTTCAACTCTATTTGTTCCAGCCTAATCCCAAACGCTTCTGGTCCCTGTACAAGTTCAATAATAAGACACGGAACATTCCTCAAAAGCTCTTGGTGAAAGTAACTGAAACCAAAAGAACATCCGCAGGAAATCCAGCAGATATTGCTGCGCTCTTCAACAACTACTTCACATGTATATTTACCACCGATCCAAATATCGAAAACTACAGCCCCGACGCTCTTGCATATCAGTCTAACAATACTATCATCGAGGACATTACCCTTTCGGAAGCCGATGTTTCCTCCGTATTGCATAATCTCGACATTAATAAAGCTCAAGGTCCAGATGGGATTCCTGCACGACTATTAAAAGAAACAGCTCGCCAAATTGCTCCATCACTAACCGCCCTGTTTAATAAATCTCTGAACACTGGTGTGTTACCATGCAACTGGAAACTAGCAAATGTTGTTCCCGTCCACAAAAAAGACAACAAAGAGCACGTAGAAAACTATCGACCAATTTCGCTTCTTTCGCTTATCTCGAAAGCATTGGAAAGATGCGTGTTTAATAAGATCAAAGACCACGTTTTCGAACAGATTAACAACGGTCAACATGGCTTTGTTCCTCGGAAGTCCTGTGTTACACAGCTCATCGAAGTCCTCGAGTATATTGGTCGTGAGCTGGATCTTGGGAAACAAGTTGATGTGATCTACTTGGATATGTCCAAGGCGTTTGATCGAGTAAGTCACATGCAACTGTTGAAACGACTTCGTGATTTTGGATTCGGTGGCAATATTCTTAACTGGTTTAGATCTTACCTCAAGGACCGTCGGCAGCAGACTACAGTACTTGGTGCAACATCATCAGCACTACCAGTAACCTCCGGAGTTCCACAAGGCTCAATCCTTGGACCGCTGCTGTTCCTATTATATCAGAATAATCTCCCCAACTCCATCAACCACTCGAAGATCGCGACGTTTGCTGACGACACAAAGATTTACAAGGTGATAAACGCGAAGGCTGATGCATCCGCTATGGAGAATGATCTTGCGAATTTCCAAACCTCCTCTGCCAATGCTAATCTTCTCCTCAACACAGATAAATGTAAGACAACAAAAAAGACAACAAAGAGCACGTAGAAAACTATCGACCAATTTCGCTTCTTTCGCTTATCTCGAAAGCATTGGAAAGATGCGTGTTTAATAAGATCAAAGACCACGTTTTCGAACAGATTAACAACGGTCAACATGGCTTTGTTCCTCGGAAGTCCTGTGTTACACAGCTCATCGAAGTCCTCGAGTATATTGGTCGTGAGCTGGATCTTGGGAAACAAGTTGATGTGATCTACTTGGATATGTCCAAGGCGTTTGATCGAGTAAGTCACATGCAACTGTTGAAACGACTTCGTGATTTTGGATTCGGTGGCAATATTCTTAACTGGTTTAGATCTTACCTCAAGGACCGTCGGCAGCAGACTACAGTACTTGGTGCAACATCATCAGCACTACCAGTAACCTCCGGAGTTCCACAAGGCTCAATCCTTGGACCGCTGCTGTTCCTATTATATCAGAATAATCTCCCCAACTCCATCAACCACTCGAAGATCGCGACGTTTGCTGACGACACAAAGATTTACAAGGTGATAAACGCGAAGGCTGATGCATCCGCTATGGAGAATGATCTTGCGAATTTCCAAACCTCCTCTGCCAATGCTAATCTTCTCCTCAACACAGATAAATGTAAGACACTTCGAATTACTAGAAAACGCAACAAAATCGACCATACTTTCAAGTTGCAAGATTCCGCTCTGGAAACCAAAGATTGCGAACGTGACCTTGGCGTCTGGACCTCCTCCACCCTCACATGGTCGAAACAAGTCCTCCACCAGTGTGCCCAAGCCAACAAATCCCTCGGGTATATTCGACGGTCCACGATCAAAATCAAGACCATCTCTGTTCGTCGGACTCTATATCTTACCCTCGTTCGTTCCCACCTCGCATACGCATCCCAAGTTTGGGCTCCACAAACTGTTGACCTCATTAAGCGTACAGAACGCGTTCAACGACGTGCGTCGAAGTACATATTGAACCTACCGTTCTTCTGTGACATCAACTATAACCATCGTCTCTCAACATTAAATCTACTACCTCTGTGTTACTGGCACGAGTACCTAGACATATTGTTCCTTTTCAAATCACACCATGACATTATTAACCTAAGCAGCGACATACTACCACACCCTCAAAATTCAAGTCAACGTACCCGATCTACAAACCCTAACTGCCTACAATTTCAGACTTCAGCATGCAAAACCTCTACCTATCAAAAATCATATCTAATAAGGACTACTAGAGTCTGGAACACACTGCCAATGGATTTAACTATTAATAGCATGGCAACTTTAAAGGACTTTAAAAATAATTATTAATCTATTATAAAACAGCACTAGATAAATATTATGACGTTGACGATCCACAAACATGGAAATCGGTTTGCTTAAAATGCAACCAAGCTTGCGACCTGACAAGGCCGATAACGTGTTGTTTTTAGATTTAGTTTTCAGAAGTACCTTTTCACATTGGTATCTATGGGGCCTATTCAGGGTTTTGCTGAAGGTTTAGGATTGTGAGGGTTTCAAACATCTTCTGACTCAGTCAGCTTCCAAAAATGGAAGTGGTTCCGCGGGCCGCAATGTGAAAAGTTGCATCTGATAGTTTGTTAGTAATTGATTCTTTCTATGTACGTATATAGTGTATTTGTCTAACATTTAGGGATCGCAGTAATTGGCGCAAGCTGTTGCGATTG